CAGAATCCTTCCTCCTCAATCCTCTTTGCACTACACACTCACCGAGACGTTCAGGATATTGACAACACTTAAGAGGCCAATCGGAGCTAACCTTTGTCTTCCTCCTTCTCTTCATCAATTGGACTTGCTGCCTGTTCTCCCAACTCTGGCAGTTCCTCACTGTTTATCCTCAAATCGGTCCCCTCCGCAGTGCCAGAGACTTCACCTTTGCTGCTTCCTTGGATATCGTTTTGATCTGTAATGTCTACGAGAATGATGATAGAGGATGCCTCTAGGCATCAGGACTCACCTTCTATGGAGAGTGGAGCACTCTCAATGGGACTTTCGCCCCTCTGTTGTTGCTGTTCTTCTTCTTCTCCTCCTCCTTCTCCTCTTCCTCCTCTTCCTCCTTCCTCACATTGCGATTGCTCCTCAGACTCCTCCCTCTCTTCGACTTTAGCATCTGGCAAATTAATTCAAAGAACATTATTCACTCACATTTTTATCCTCACTTCAAAGTGTCGGAATTGGATGTTAATTCCACATTTCCGGCAATAATGCGAAACGCTGAATGCCATCAAATCCAACTACGATCGCACTCGAAAGGCGCTTACAACAACTCATTTTCCTCTCGCCAATCCTTATTCCAAAATGTGATTCGTCCGTTTTATCAGAGGTTCCTCTAATCATAACTCCTTTAAGTACTACCGAACTAATTATGCCTTCTGGGAGTACCCAATGCTTCATTATTCTGGCTGTCCTCACAGTGGTGGCATACGTACAAAAGTCATCATTTCCGCTAAATCCACACCAATTTATGTGCTCACATTTAAGATGAACATTCCATTCTCTTGTATCTATCCCAAATTTATTGCTGTGAATGCGTCTCTCACACTTTGTAATGAGTGAACTTGGGAGAGACTTGCATCACCCAGTCTTATTCGCCTCGACAAATATCATGTTCACTTCTGCTTTGGAGATACACTCAATCTTGAGGTGAATTGGTGTTTCAACATTTGATTCACTCAAGTGTCACAGTGCAAACAGGTTTCCTCAGTGTCTCGATTTGCTCTAGAGCACTCTCTAACTCCTGATACATCACACAGCAATAGCATCAGTTCAGTAGTAGTATCACTATTGATTGCCTTCAATTGAGCCCGTTCCAATTTCATCTCCTATTCGGTCTTCCTCATTTCTAGACTCGTCTATTCCATTTGGTTAATGCATGTGTTGAGGTAGTCATTCTCAATGTGTGGTGAACAGCAGCATATGTCATGAAATATTGAATGTGCAGTTTCATCCACTCTAATTGTGCATTCCATTTAATAATGCATCAAGAATATTGAAGTTTTGAATACATCCCTCCACGAATAGTGTATGTTAATTACAAACAAAGTGGAAAACTGTCAAGACGCATGAAAAGAGAGATTGAATCTACCTGCATTTAATTCGTCGCCATTACCAGTTTCGGAAATCTGGTCATCTTCGAAAATGGGTTCATCCAACCCTGGTGCTGAAATGGAAAGTTTATAAAAACTGTTTATCTTCGATAACAAGTCGAACTCGATGCAAAATGTTCCTTTAATTTAATTATTTTAATGGGTAATGTTTTTCGCTTTGAATTTGGCCCCAAATAGGAAGTGTTTCAATTTAAACTCAAAGTCTTTTAATCATATGGCCAGCGAGCGACTAGTTGAAAACAAGGAAATTAGTAGGATTACCATAAAGATGATTGGTTTCATTAAAATAAGGCGCGGTGAGATCGAGGCAAAGATTGGCATAGATTTATACGCATGATTTGGACCCCAATTTTAGCAAACGATGCCTCAGGTAATTTACAGGTGGCATTAGAGTCAAGCATCAGATCTCCTCGCCAATATACCATGAAGACATTTTACCCAAATAATAGCTCATTTCACTTTTTCAGTGAGAGCTTAGCTATGTACATGCCGAGGATAATAAACAAATGAATACTGCAGGTTGAATTTTTTGTGGAATCCTGTTATATTTGCCCACATAGAATTGGAAGAAATTAGAATTAACAGGAGAAATGGGACAGTGAATGGGTCGATGGAAAGTCATCCCGTGTAATTGACGCATGGCTTTAGGAAGGAGTCAATATGTGTAGGAGGTGGTGGGCACTTCCTTTGACCTTGTGAAATAGGGGTTGCACGTGAATCTGTTCTTACTGAGGCGATTTTCACAGGATCACTAGCTATATGTGATTGGAAATCCATATATTTACTCTCTTACTCACTGTCTCTCACTTGGGTCGTTTTCAATAGCTCCCTTGTCCTTCATATAAGTGTTGAATGAATCAGACCCCGTTTAAGATGGTGTCAAATTTCATTAGTACAAATCCATCACGAAGAATGAACAAAGTTTCAGTAGAAAGCAGGGATAAGAGTGGAAGAAAATTGATAACCACCTTCATTGGGAACTACTTTTATTGATGCCCCTGTCGACTTTAGGCCTTGGTTTGATTAAAATTAGACAAATTCAAACAAGGAAGTCCAAAAGCATCCTGTCTCATGAGTTACGTAAGTTTAGACTAGCATTACGCATATATTGCTGTTGAGAAAAGTAAAAACGCTTCATTCCTCTTACCCTCAGTGCCAGCCGGAAGACTCTCAATTGAGTTCTCGCTTGTTTTCTTCTCCAAGTTTTCATTTGCTTCTAAGTATGCTAAATCTCCAAAACAGATGTTGATTAGGAATGCTTGTTTACCCTTTAGTTCTACCGTGTGTTCGTGGTTTGGATTCACTTCTTTCGAATCTACCTCATTTGCACAAGGACTAATATTGCTGTCGCAGACTTCTTGCTGTCCTACAAAATAGGGTTTGAGTTAAAAAGAGTGATAATGTTTTACCTTCCATTGTTGATGGCACATTATCGGCAGCTAGTACAGAGCTTCGGTCTTCACTTTCTATTCGCATATCTTCTAGAGAAAACACCAACTTAAGGGATTTAGTAACTGATTGCTTATTATATGCTAGGCTTTATCAATATTCCTTTCTTTGAGCCGAAATTTACAGTTGCGATCTTTCGCTTACATACAATCAAAGCTTTGTCGAATTATTGCAAAAATTCGATCGATTAGTAGTGAAAGTCAAGCAATACTATAGTTCTATTTCACGTGTATAATGGTCACAGATATATAGGGCGAAGACGATATATAGCAGACACTGCTATATATCGAAGCGCTGCTTTACAGAATAAATACGTATTGAATCTGGAATGGGAGTTTGTACACACATCAAACAATCTCAGTTATTTGAACGTGTAAATATTTCTGGTTTATAAACTGCTCATTTCAATGGAATTTCTTCAATTTGCAATTCATATTTACCATTCCCATCACTTGCCTACTCTCACTTGAAGGAAATTATTTGCTTCCACTACTGGCTCTGGTGAAAGGAGGACTCAATTCTCCTATTTCAGAGAGTATGGCTATAGACTTAACTTCAATTCAATCCACCTCGAAGGTGACTAGACTATTTGAATATACATCTAAAATCAGCTGATTCGAAAATGTGATGAGGAGATGGGTTTCTTCAGCAACAATTATCATGCTATAAATGCAGCATTAAAAGCGCTTGAAATGCGCCTAGAAATCTAACTATTCATGATTGTTTTCCTAATATGTTCTAGTTCATTCTCAGCTCCAAATGCACCCACACCATTTCATTGATTTACTTAAATGTGTAGACGTGGTTCAGAACTTCGGTGAATCAATTCACCACTTCATTAAGCGCCTTTTGCAGCTACTTCCTGGGGCCACGGAAGCATCCTCGCAAAGTTGAAAGGTCCAAATTATGCCTGGTTGTACACATTTTGTCTAATAAATGGAAATCCTTGAAATGAGATTAAGTTGAGCACAGCCACTATTTCGGCACGCTGCGATCTACACGAGTGGCGCACCATTCATTGTGCACTGTTGCTCCAGTTCAATGTCTCCCCAAAGATAAAGGCACTTGTATTCGCTCTGTGCCGAGTAAATAATAATGCCATGGTTGACTACTCTCCTTGCACAGTTTAGGTGAGGAGGCGCTATTAGACGCCTTGACCTCCTTTGGGCTTAAGTGTGCCAATTCTCATTACTTGGTGCCACCCATGCACTTACTCTAATACAATCGAAACGACCCCTCTTGGTGTACAATTTACGTGCTCCAAATAATCCAACCCACCTTCATTTGATTGAGGCGTGTCATTTTGGGCAGTGTCAGGTCCTTGTTGCTCTCCTTCCACAACTGCCTCTTTGAGAGGACAATATTCTACCTCTTCTTGTAATCCTAGCAAGAGAAGAGTAAATGCGTGACTTATTGCCGTAAGAGAAGAGCGAGACTCCTAAATTGCATCAAATAGGCGGCATTTATCCACTCTTTCTTGCACTGAGAACAAATGCGCAACACTGAAACCAGGACCACGACACTGACACTACTTTGCTCTCGACCCTTCCGTATCCATATTGGATCTTGGCCCTCGTGACTTTCTCGCATGTGAAGATCCTCTCCCTTCGCAGCCTCAACTTCTACTAAGTCTGGCGCAGCTTCAACTTCACTCAGATGCTCGAATTTCAACACACTCAGTTGAAAGAACCCCCAAATGCAATCACAAGTGTTCTATGTCTTAACAGTTTGTATTGCTCTCCTAATTTTGGCAGTAAGTGATATTTTTTTCAATTTGAATATAACAGCCTTCACTACAGTCGTAACCACATCTCAAGATGTTTGAGCACTATGATGAATGTTTTGTACACCTTCACCGCCTAGCCTTGATCGCGCAATTCCTCTACGAAACAACTAACCCAACAAAATCAAACTGTTCGACAACACTTTAGATATTTCACGAAGTTTCCTATTTCCCCTAACTCATTTTTCTAATTTGTGCTCTTTCTCCCCTTTTCAACGTGAAACTCGAATCTAGTGTTACAGAATCCTTCCTCCTCAATCCTCTTTGCACTACACACACACCGAGACCTTCAGGATATTGACAACACTTAAGAGGCCAATCGGAGCTAACCTTTGTCTTCCTCCTTCACTTCATCAATTGGACTTGGTGCTTGTCCTCCCATCTCTGGCAGTTCCTCACTGTTTATCCTCAAATCTGTCCCCTCCGCAGTGCCAGAGACTTCACCTTTGCTGCTTCCTTGGATATCGTTTTGATCTGTAATGTCTACGAGAATGATGATAGAGGATGCCTCTAGGCATCAGGACTCACCTTCTATGGAGAGTGGAGCACTCTCAATGGGACTTTCGCCCCTCTGTTGTTGCTGTTCTTCTTCTTCTCCTCCTCCTTCTCCTCTTCCTCCTCTTCCTCCTTCCTCACATTGCGATTGCTCCTCAGACTCCTCCCTCTCTTCGACTTTAGCATCTGGCAAATTAATTCAAAGAACATTATTCACTCACATTATTATCCTCACTTCAAAGTGTCGGAATTGGATGTTAATTCCACATTTCCGGCAATAATGCGAAACGCTGAATGCCATCAAATCCAACTACGATCGCACTCGAAAGGCGCTTACAACAACACATTTTCCTCTCGCCAATCCTTATTCCAAAATGTGATTCTTCCGTTTTGCCAGAGGTTCCTCCAATCATTGCTCCTCTAAGTACTGCTGAACTAATTATGCCTTCTGGGAGTACCCAATGCTTCATTATTCTGGCTGTCCTCACGTAAATGTCCTCACAATGGTGGCATACGTACAAAAGTCATCATTTGCGCTAAATCCACACCAATTTATGTGCTCACATTATTTAGATTTTTCTCAACATATTATTCATCACAATATCCATCTTTTCACTTATTGAAATGCCATGGTTCGCGTCATCTTATTATTTTTTGAAATTTTGTTCAATTATTTAATTTAATGTCTTTAATAATGGCCATAGTGAATTTCCACTTATGTCTACTGTTGCGATTTCCTTAATTTTGGAACCTTCTCCCTTATCATACTCTTTGCCTTCTTTACCTAGCTTTTCAACCTTATTTTCGCCTTTTCCAGCATCCTTTGAGACATTTCAAAATTTTAGTGTAGAGTTATGATTATATATATTTTGAAGAAATTGTCAGGTTGAAACAAGTATAGACTAAGATAGTAGACCATCTTACTAATCGGTGACCTTGGAACCACCCTCAAAACATTTAAGAAATAGACTATCTTCGTTTTGAACAGTGGTGTTATCGGAAGGGTTATAAATGTTGGTAGTTATTCCACATCACTTACATTAATTCCACCAGCAACTGTATCCCAATTAAATTTAATCGAATATAATATTTTCTTACACTCTAGCGGATTGCTACACTAATAAAGTCTGACTGACTCAGAAATCTCTGTGGCAGACCCTCCAACATCTAGATAGACTCCTAGAACTAGCTTAAATCCATTCGGCTAGAATCAGCATCCGAATCACGCATTGGTCAAAAGAACTCCATTTTCCTGGATTAAATGAAAAACTGGCCATGGGACTCTTACCAGAGTCATTGAGCTCAAATGAAGCTTAATTGTGATGCTTAATGATTCTCAAGATCACAACTTCGATTAAAAGTCCATTTTAGTAACAAATTGTTTCAAAATTTCCTTCTTTTTCGTTAAAAGGCAAGCGGAAGTTATCATTTAAAAGTTGCAAAATCCAATTTCATATAATTTCAATAGTACTTAGACAACCTCAATTTATTAATTTACTTCGTTCCTCTTCTTAAATAATTAACGAAATGTAAGCTCCGGGTATAAGTTAGAAGTTCATTTATTAATATAGGAGACTGAAATAACTATGGATTAAAACAACTAATTTTCTATAAACTTCAATAATTATGATGACCTAAATTAAGTTTGGTTAGAGAGCCGCTGCCCTGTGTGCCGGGCAAATGCGTAAGGATTATTTAAAAGCGACGCAAATAATTGGGTAGTCAATACTGAAAATGACGTCATTTTAATTAGTACTGTTCAGTGCAGTGAAAGCACCTCTAACTACGATTTACACCTTCGATTGGAAGGTGAAAATATTTCCAACAAACAAACAAGTGGATTATTTTGAAATCTTCGGTTAGCAGAAATATGCTCAAAAGGTACTTTATAAAATTTTTGGAATGCAGATTTGCCTGAATTTCGAAAAGTTACCGTTACAGTAGTAACTTAGGAGAATGGGGTATTGTGCTTAATATTCTAATAGAGGATTATTAAGTTGGAATAAAAATGATGTGATTGAACGCTACGGGACCAACTTTATATGATATTAACAATAAGGAGTTTTACCTTCAGCATCGACACCACTGGAAATAAATCTGGTCCGCCAACGAAGATTCCTAAGCACTGAACTATCCATGTTAATGGAGTATTCCGATTGTCTCCCATGGGCGTTTGTCCTGGTTCCTCCACCTGGTTTTGTTAGTAGTGTATTGAAAAATGTGCTCAAAACGGAGGCTTCGCCAGCGCCTATGCTCTCTCGAGTTGGTCCAGCCAAATTTACTCTCCTTGTTTCTGCCGTGTCCACAACGCTAAGGACACGTCGTGTACGCTGATCAGGTGCCTTTAGGATATGAAAACAATTCCCAATTTCGCTTAACAATAAGACAAGACATGAAGTCACTTTAAGGATATTTAGTGAAAATGACATTGCAAATAATCACTTCAAACTGCTATGGTAAATGCGGTAGATACTTATAACCCCGGTTTCACCTATCAGTATCTACTTTTATCGCATTTAAGCATCGCCACTTACCGAATCCTCCTGTGTATTGCTCTCACTTCGGCCTTCAACTTTCCCACGAGATTCAGAGGCCTTCAACTTGCTAAGCATGCGTGAAAGAAAGGCTTGTTTCTCCTCTGCTTCAATAAATTTTTCCTTCTTTTGAAAATGGATAGAATGTGGGGGCATGAAGCCTAAAATTTAATAGTACATTAATTTTATGTCTAAATGTGTCCTTTTACTTATTTAATTTAAGCAAATGAAGAAGGTGAAGACTAATTCAAGGCATATACTTGATAGTTTTATTGAAAGAATGTCAAACTAGAGTGGATTCGCATGCGAAAGTGTGCTCCAGACAACCTTATGTTGATAAAAGCGCATTTTATCATCACTCCTCTTGGCAGGGGTTAATCGCTCCTATTGGTCCTGTGCCACACCCACTGGACATGAATATATAAGTATCGATCTTGTAACCTACTATCCAAAATTGTTCCATTTTTAACCCAATTTTCAACTTGGGGTTAAATTAGGACAAAATGAATGGCCAACTTCATAACTTCTTTCTAAAAGGCTGATGGAATTCCTATTTGGATTATTTACAATGTGACTAACAGAAAAATACATTTCGTCATTAAAAATAGCAGCCAACATCAATTCGTCTGTTCGCATTGACAAACACTGCCTAAAAGCTACTTTATAATGGTAGCACGTGAATGAGAGAATCTGATGAATTGACACAAGTGTGATTTTTTTAAAATCGAGTTCTAATGTGCGAGCGATTTACGCTTAAAACCCATCCTAATTTATCAAAAAATTGAATTGTCCAGTGTGGTTAAATGGAGAGCGTAGAATGCACAACCCTGTCAGGGCTGAACTAAGAAATTGCTGGACACTCAAACAGGCACGAAAGTGAGGCCATGCAACTCGTTGCCAAAGGAGCAAGTGCTTCGAAATGCCAGAGACCCCTCACTAGTCCCCACATTGCTTAACGAACCCTTCATTGCATCTTAATGACTTAGCTCTATGAAGGGCACAATATAAATAAACGCGCTCCACGCCATACGTCTGTTTCCTCTACGGCTTTGAGGTAGCTTAGGTAATCTTCTTGGGATTCGTTCCAAGATTCGTTCGTGGGAGATTACTGAGCATAAGTCATGGCTTATTAATGAAGTAACCGGATACAAGGGTATTATCATCTTCAAAAGCGTGATAAACTTGAAAATTCGCATTAGAAATATTACCTCGATCTGAATTACAGAGTTGAATTCTTTGCTTTATTGTTGGCTTGCTTGGGAAGATTCGTAATCCCTCTGGTATACTTTCAGAGAGAGTATTCAACTTTCCTTGGGATTCCCATCCAGCGGGTCTGCAATAAAATGACTTTCATGTTTTTTTGTGAGGAAGAAGCGCGTAGCGCGTATAATTTTGAAAATTTACATAAATATGCTCTTGCTTTCTAAGTTTTGAGCAGATGTAGAAAACTCTTCCCCAAAGAGGCGATGGCAAAGATAGTCTCGAAGGAGACTAATATTTGTGCCGTCTCGAGCTGATGTATAAATTAGGCAAGCTCCAACTTTTCAAAGGAAAAGCAAAGTAAAGTTAGCATGTCTTCGTTTATTACTTTCATAGAGGATTTTACTTACCCTTGTATGCAATTTTACGCAGTTCTAGTTCAATTGTATCAAATGTGTCATCAGAATACCCAAGAACTTTTCCCATATGTTCCGTTAGATCGGTCTGAGAAGAAATATAATTTTGAAATAGGAAGTCAGCTGCCGAATAATAGACTTTTTTGTTTAGCCTGAAGTCAACTAAAGGGCTGATGATAACTATCATAAGACCTGCCATTTGATATAAATAAATAAATAAATATTTTGAAATAGGACGGTAATCAGTTTCTAGGGTTTCATCTACCGGAAGTATACCTAACTGCCTCCAAACTAACCCTAGGGAGGGAGTACAGGAGCTAAAATTTTCGAGGAAATTATAAACAGATACCTTTAATTGTGCTTGAGAAGACTATCATAAGTATGCTTTCCTTTCCATTTCATTGCTAAGGAAATTTCTCCACCACCTTAAACTTATTTACTGTTGCTGGGTCCACTTGAACTAAGTAATGTTTAAGGTTTCAAACGACATTCTAATTTACAACTTTCAATAGACATCGGCGTTGGATCTGCTTATTTCCTTTCGGCCTTGAATTAGAGAACTGGGAGCAGTAAGGTGATTGACAGCTTTCGCTTGAGTGTAATTAGATGACAATTGTACAGAGCATCAATCTTCCTAAGCAATCTTGCGCTATTATCTAAATCTTTCAATTTAAAGTTAATTTTTCGAAATAGAATTGGGTTTGAATCCGAAATTATGTAGGTTTCTACATTGAATGACGACACTTACACGCATTTTTAGATGCAGATTGCTCATCCTCAACTCTCTCTTTACCCATCTAACCGATAACGGTAATGCATTCTTTGGAAGAGAACTGAATAGAATGAGATGCTGTAAAAAGATTAATGCTAACACGAACTACTTATATTTAAAAAATTGTTATGTTTCAAGTTACGTGACAGAATTGCAGTGTGCAATTAAGCACAGTTTCAGCCACATTCTAGAGAACCTAACTGGAAAGGAAAGACGTAATGGTTTTCGACATGCAATTAATCATCTTCTATTGCTATGAAATGTATGTTTTCACAACTATAGACTGTGCTGCGGAATGCAAAAGGTAAGAGCCGGCTTCCTTCCCGTTCTTGTATGGAAACGCTCTTACAGCAAGGCTCAAGGAATCATCAAATCTGTCAATGAAAAATCAAAATCCATTTATATCAAGGAAATAAAGTCTCCTCGTAACCCTACGGGAATTTATTCTCGATTTCATCTATTTTTCCAATACAGTCATTTAAATGTCGCCTACATTTTCTAATAATAAATCTCTCTCTCAAGGGTATTTGAGCTGCAAACTGCATATGAAGTGGGCCTACTTGCATAAAAATACATGCTCAAAACATCACTGCATGTCAGTAAAGTGCATTATTGACTGATTTTCACCTACCTTTGTGACTACTATAATAATAGGTACTCTCAGTTTCTTAACAAAAGCCCCATCTCCTAGCGGAGGCAGTTCATAATCTGGATCTGAAGAATCGTTTGGATGCAGATTGTTCCATTTTGGTGGGTGGACTGGCTCAGATTCCTCATCTTGAGCTCTGTCTTCGCTTAATTCGTCAATTTCTGACCTCATAACGCCACTGAATTTCCTAGTGACGCTTAACCGATGAGTAATCCCTAGTCCTGGAGTGGATGAAGTTGTGGCCTCCATGGCAGGATCAATATACCCACGAAAGTGCCTCTCCACTGGAATTAATATTTACTGAGTTAATTACAACTCTTAGTTGGAATTAGTTCTCCAATTAAAGAAAGAACATACAGCTGTTCTGTAAGTCCTGCATTTCTTCGAAATCCACCCCATCCATTTGACTAATATACTGTCCCAAGAAATCGAATATTTTCTCAATTGTTTTTGTCATTTTCCACGGTTCACCAAAGCTGACGCAGATGAGAACCAATGTGTTCCAGATCGTTCGGGAATTCAATGCATACCGGAGGAGTTTATCGAGACCAGCATCAGTATCCAGAGACCAGGTGGAAATTCGCCTTAGATCTAGAATAACACTTTAGCCAGTTAACTACGGTTACACGTACATTAGTAATTTCCAGTTGTAATGTCATATTTAATGCTACTATGATAATCATTGTATAAACAGGTTTGAGTTTACCATTTTAACATTTAATACTTTGTAATTACACATGGCTCAAACTATTTTTCAAATTGTCTCCTTGAATATAAATCATTTTGTTGAAAATATGAAATCTTGTGGATGCACAACTGCACCACGGTTGATTAAAGGAATGTCATGTACGCCAGAACAGTCTGAAAGGTGCGACAGTGCTGTTGAAATATGTGACAATGAAGCCCCTATTAATTCGGATTTCTCAAATCGTCTGAATAATAATGAGCAAAATCTTCATTTCAGCTATGTTTATAATGACTAAATGAACTCTTAAGGATAATTCATTAATATTTCCAGTTCCATACCCCTTGAAGAAAGCACTATTGAAAGCTCCGTGACTTTTGCCTCCATCCCTAACCAACTGCGTAATATTTGTTGATTGGATGAAAAAAAAGTTGACCGACCTAAAGAAACCCATAATTCTTCCAATGAATCTAAGAATTGAATTAGAAGTGAAAATGAATATGCTCACTCTTCTCTTATATATTCATATAGCCACTTAGTTATTGAGCTATCTTTTCTTTGTTGTTTGAATTTTCGCTTCCCTGTAGAAAGTATTTAGTGGCCTTCCCGTATGGCCAATAACAGATCTTTTAATTGACCGAAAGTGCTCCTGGAATGTTGACCAATGAACCGGTCATTATGGCAAGTGATATAATAGCTGAAAAAGTGTTTCTTATAAAACTTGTATGAATTCTCACTAAGTATGGCATGCAGGAGTAAATTTAGAAACATGCTGTCTACCTGTTAGAAAACGGGATTAAAGATATCATTTATTGCAGATGAGATAGCCACTAAAACTGTAGATGGAAACACCTCTTAAGCCAAATGACGACTTCTCCGGCTCCGACTCAATTAAAATGTCCCAAATTGTTCCCTCAGGCAAGAGAAAGCAAATAGAAAAATAATAAAGACAATCCTTCATTCCAGCAGTTTCATAATTTTTCTGCGGATGTATTGTAACAAGAGGCTTGGAGCTCCCCTTCATTTTACAAAAAGGCTGGTCTAATGATTACGCCCTTTAGGAGCCATGACACATGAAGGGATAGCTCAGTGCATTCATTTTGGAGATTTTGCCGCCAAAAATCAACAATGGAGAACTCGCTTTTCTGGTTGTGATAAAACTCTTCCAATTTCCCCCAACGTACACCTTCTTTTGCGTCATCACATTCAATGAGAATTAAAATTACTATTACCTAATATCACCTTTAAGATCAAGTGATCAAGACATTGGTTTGATCTGGTATTCATGACTAACACAGCCAACAATATCATTTCTTCTTCTCAGTTCCATAAATTCACATCACTATTGATTTTAAATGAAAATGGATATGGTTCGAAATTGTCATCTGCATGTGAATTAGTGCCAAAAAGGCTATAGCCTTGCAAAATCTGCAGAATCAATGTCCTTAATGCACAATTATCAAAGTGGAGTTCCACTATCCATTTCAAGTTATGTTGATTTTATCAGTGATAAGGTTGACTGAAACAGCTCATCTCAGCGCCACTCGCAATGTTAATATCTGAATCAGTGTTAGCTTCTTCTTTAAATCATTTTCTTCTGGATAAGAAGAGAAGAGCCTTATCAATTACCCCGTTTCACAAAGCCTAGTCTCAACTACCTTCTCCATTTTTAAACCCCCACCCTACTGTAGAACGCTTTATTCCATCCTACCAATAAACGGCCTTAGTTACACAAAATTTATTGAATGATCATTCATTTCTACGTTATGTAAAGTATTTAATAAATAAGGATGAACGAAAATTGGTAAAAGTATCGTTCCATTTCTGAACATGTTAAAACATTACCCTGCAAGGTATGAGCGGATAATTAGGACAGTTTTAGCACGCAATCCAACTCACTTTCACTCTCAGAGTCCTTGAAGTCAATGTAGTTGTATTCAAAGCTGGCTCTTGTTTCCTTCCCTCTACGCGATTGGTCATTTTTCAGGGCTGAAAGCAACGTCGATTTGCCAGCTAAGTGGTGGCCAAGAAGGATTAAATTCCACCCGCTGGAAAATAGTCCACATCCATCGTGAATACTTCCAGCATTTGCTTGAACCTCCCTTAATAACCGTGACCTTGATGAGATTGAAAAAGAGTTCAGCATCTCTTTAGTTTATGGTTATATATTTAGAAACTTAACAAATAATTTTTTTTAGTTTTAAGAATGGGTTTCAAGGAATTGGTCAAGTATTTAAAAGTAGCTATAGGGAATTATTTGCTGGATCACAATAAGTTGACTTATTTTCTGGTAACTTGCTGAATAGTTGAATTTTTATTAAGATCTTGTGCGCTTCGAATCCTTTTCAGAGTAATTTCTCTTCTGCGCATCTTATTTTCTAACTTAAAACCCCTGAACGCTTTCGTAAAGAAAGAAAATGGTGATAATTGGTGAGAGCCAAGTGTCCACAAATTCAAGTTAAGGTAGACGATTAAGTGAGACCTTATAGCCTTTTCATAATGATCATGGAATGTTATTTCCTGGCTCTTGCAAAGCACTGAAAGCGTTTCTAAAATTCACTTCAGCAACCATAAGTATTGCCATTGGACAGCTTTGATCGAAAATCGATAGATTAAAGTGATTTCTATGATTGACTGGTCATAGGTGAGTTGCTTCATCATGTATTAAACGAAAAATTTACCCAAATTTTGTTCAATAGAACTAAAGACACTCAGAAACTTTACTTCTAATTCCATGACTTAGCATTTAAATTAACTTTAATAGAATTAAATTGTTATTTGCTAAATAAAAACATGCTGTCTCTTAATTAAGAAAAGGTAGATTGTTTGAACAAAGGATGGTAATTTTGAACCCACAAAATAGAATTTCTCTAACTCACCATAAATGAAGTGATTTAACTTTCTTTCTTTCTGGCGTTGGTCCTGTTTCTTCAACCATTGCGGTAAGTAAATGAACAAGTTCACAGTAACCTAAAAATTATTCCAGTTTAAAAAACCAATGATAAATTCTCACATGAGTTATGCGTTTGTGTGTCAGAAAGTGACTTATTTTCTACCAATTTATGCCTGTTCTAAGCAAGAACAGAAGTGATCGGATAAAAAGTAGTACTTTAACCCGTGAGTGCAACCACCTGTATTAACTAACCAATTTTGGTGCTCTTGATATACCTTTTTCTTAAAATAGATTCCTATGGCCTTTTCAAAGCTAACATAAAATGTATTAAATGGAGAACAAGAGTACGCATAAACGTTCCAAAATGGAGTAAAGAACGAGGATAGAACGACGATGACAGAAATGGTAAGAAATCGGGATGCAATAAGCAAATCAAATTACTTAAGTAAGTATTTGCTAAATAATGAATCATAGATGAGGCGATAAATACGAGCGACCAGATAGAATGATGCGCCAAGAGTAAATTAGGAGAGAAATTCTCAACGATGGCTACTTGCGTTTCCAGCTACGTGGAATTTTGGAAGAGTGTATCGTCTGTTCTAACTTCTATACCAATAGTCTCTAGCACAATTGAGCTCTAGGGCTCCTCAACATTTAATAGGATTCGAAAAGAGCTAAGCCCATTACCATGGCCATTTAATCTCCGTAAACTAGAGGCCATGGAGAAAGTTTCCCATCTTTCACAATCTGTATAGATTTGATCGACTCTTCTTAAACCACTTTTTAGCACAAAAATAAAACGATTCAATCGTCGAAGTTGAGCACGTGTGAGGTTACCTTCACGCTTCAATTAAACTTAAGCGAGCGAATTTGACTCAATCTATTCAGAACCTTCTATAGATGCAATAATGTTGGAATCTCTTCTCAATATCCATCGGAAAATGACGTCAAGTAAAATGGAAATTGCTGTGGTATTTCAATAAGCCTTCTTTCACTCTAACTGAATGAAGGGCAGAAATCTTTGGTGCCACTTTAAGATGATTACTAACTCTTCGTACTGTCATTAGGTGTCGTTTAATCCAATGGGCAGTCGAATAACTGATGCCCATCCGCAATAAGCTAACCAGTAACAACCCACAATTACGTAAACGAAAATATATGGATGCTTAACTGATAATACGTTTGTTGCTAAAATTTCGCTTTCCTTTGCGTTTTAAAATAGATCCCATTGAATTTCGGTATTCAAGTCATTTAAAGACTTTGCTATTTAATAAACGTTCTAGGAAAAAATGTATTTTGTCACAACCCAAACATCAAACTTGATTCGTTGTTTGCAGTGTCAAAATATGCCTAATACTCCTAGTACGGCGGAGAAAGGCTTTGAGTGATAAAAGATTATATTGTTTAAGTTTTGACGTGTTTACGATAAATTTAAGTTTTTATGTGACCATTTTATTCGCAGAAAGGCTACTACGGCACTGACCTCACTAATAAGTTATCTACGAATTGTATTGAAAATCTGTGTTACCAATGCAAAAATAGGCATTCTTTGTGGCTTCTCCTTTAAATGGCACCAGATTATTGTTAAGCAAAATCAATAAAACCAAGTTTGGCTTTATACTAAGGGCAGCTGGCCACGCCATTACTGTATTGTGCTTGAACTGTCAGTTATTTGAAAGGCATGCTCGAGAGTAAAGATCTCCTGAAATTAAGACATGTTAAGTAAGCTATCATGTCCCTAGTAACCTCACTGTTGAGGGGTAGGAATTAGACATCGGAGATTTTTACTTAATTCTCTATTAAGAACCATGGTCTTTACCTTTGGTGAGTGACTTTGAATTGTTTTAAGCAATAAGCAACTGCATACTTAAAGCAGCGTGCTAGCCATGCACGAGATCCTGCACTGCAAGGAGAAAAGTGAGGGAGTTAAAATGACTAGCTATCCAGAAGCCTCGTGGCGAGATGCATTTTGACGCATCCGCGACTTTCATCACCTCATGAGGCGACGAAAAAAGCAGACCAGTCATTTTCTAGATCTGAAGGTCGAATTTAACCAAATAATGCTTGACCTCTGATAGTAGTACACCGAAAGACTGTTTAGCTGCTTTGTTGATGTTCTGGTCGGCATTTTGATATGCAAAACTATCACCTCTAAATCAATGAGTCCATTTATATGCTTGCGTTTATGTAAAAATTGGTCTAATTATTTAACTGATCTAATTTGTTTGATGAGGCGTTTACAATAAATAATTTTATGCACAATTTCCAAGTCAAAGAAATTAGCTGATCAAAATCGTATATTATGATGCAACTTATTTTCTTGATTAACTCAGACCATTGATGTCTCTCAACTACACTACTATTTCGTCGGTACTTTATTAAAATGAGAATTTTACTTTAGGTCATTATTCAGCTGGTGAACTGAGGATGACAGGTTTCGCATTACACATTTCCATCTGAATTAATCATTTGGGAGATAGAAATTGAATTCGTGCTCTCATTTTTACATTATCAGGCAGATTTAAGATTATTGACGCAAGCTGATTAGCAGTTGCTTTAAAGTTAGCTTCTAAATTGTACTCTCCTGTCTTTGTACTCTGAGTGAATCGTTGCTAGTACGTAAAAAACTGTGTCCGGTGACCCTCTCAGACACGAAAGCCTATTTCTCACTTACTTATGACTTCATTAAGAATGATACCATCTCAATCAACCTTAGGGGAATCGAAACTGACTTTCTATCCCTGATGGCGTTAAGTATTTTATCTTGGTTATCAAAAGCATTACCAGCCACAATTCCAAAAAATACTTTCATCGCCACATTTCTCAAATGCTTATCCTGTTGTACAGTATATATATATATATATATATATACTCTTACGGCAAAAAAGTCTATTAACTGGCAGTTGACTTCTCCCTTCAAACTACCATCACCTCACTCTATGTCATATTCGACTGCCACCGCAGTACTCACCTCACCTTTTTCTACCTTTGTGTCCGTCTCTTTTACATCTTTGAAACACTCCTCTGTTCCCCCCTCCCCCCCCCCCCCCCCCCCCC